GACACTATATGTATTGAGCAAAATTTAAAGGTACTGGCTTTCTGCTACAAGTGTATGTGAACTACCAGATCGTTTTCCAGCAGGCCTGATTGGAAAACCTCATGCTCACTAATGCTGACTCTTTAGTGGAGCATAGCTGGACAGCATTAACATCTTTAGGACTGCTTAGTTCATCAGCTGAGAGTTTTGCAGTGATATAAAGGGCTTGACTCCAAATAAATAGTTTTCCATCATAGCCACAGTTGCTAGGAAATTTCTTTTGACTACCTTTTTTTTTTTCATATTCTGAAAAATCAGCTGGCACATAATAGTACTTTGGTAGAATAGGCTAGCCTTCTGTGGTCTGATGTAGCACTGGAATCAAAAGATCCTGAAATTCCTTTACTTGTTGGGATTCTCTCTAAAAACTCCATCGATCATCATGTAAAGGAAAAATATAGAAAATTCACATTCAATGCCATCAATTAGCTTAATCTTAGCTGGTTTGTAGTGGCATTTATTGGAATCTTCCAATGATGCTCTATACCTATCTCTCAAGAAATGCCTAAATCATATTTTCCTTTTAATTTTCTAATCACTTTGTGAAGTGTCTGGCTAAACAGAACTTCATCATCCAGGGCAGATGTAGGGAAGGAGGGCAGCGTCTGTGTTGTGTGATCTTGACTTTCTGGGTAACATGCGAGCACAAAGTTTGCATGTTGCAATTGTGAGCATTGAGATCCACAAATATAACTGACCAAGAACAGCCCTTGTCGCCAAAGAGGTCAAATCCATTAATGGTTTCTAGTCTTTTAAGTAAAATAATGGGTAGCCTCGCCTTATCCGTTACTTTTGCCAAGCCGACAGAGCTTGAAAGTAGTTCTGTGCTGCCATTGTTATATTTGCTTCCTCTTTCCCAGATACCCAAGTCAGAAACATGGTAAACCCTTTCTATGCCAAATACAAGGATTTGAATAAAAGCGATCTCATTGGTGTTTTAGATAATCTGGAGTCCTGAGGAACACCTCTCCACAAGGTAAAGAAGACACTGTGACACTGCATTTATCTGAAGATGACCATACCCCTCAGAGGAGAGCAACTCACTCCTGGGTGCACATTGAAAACAGAATGAAGAGATGTTGCTGGGCACAGGTCCTGCTTAAAATGCTGGACTTTATCTGTCTGCCACAAACAGCAGTAGCGATTTCATCTCATGAATTTTATAGCCAAGTGCTCCGGCTCATGGGTTCTTCCCTTGTCATCATCACTATGCCTCTAAGCAAGAGCCAAAGCCCAGGCCCCAGCAGCACAGTGCAAGCTATCCCAGATCTTGGCCTCATCACCTCATGTCTTAGTAGGAAAAAGACCTGTGGTTGGACTTTGATACAGGAGCAGTGTAGACTTGACAATTCTGTAATAATGATGCAATTTATCACACAGAGTTTCACTCTCCTCATCTCTATTTCCATATCTTTTTAAAATTTAACCTTTTATTAAATCATAACTTTATATATTTATGGGATACGAAGTGATGACTTGATATACAAGGTGGAATGGTGAGATTTCCATTTCCATATCTTATAAACCATAGCCACATAATTGCAAAGGTGATTTTCTAAAATGCAAATATGATTATGTCACTCCTCTATTTTTAAGAAGCTTCTTATGGACTTCAGGATGCCCTAGAGAAATCTTTATGATCTTTCCCTCTGGCTTAATCTGTCACTTCACTCATTCTCTCTCACCTCTGTGGTTTACACATGGTATTTGCTAAACTTGAAGTACCAGGTGACTCATTCCTACACTCCCTTAAAAATTGGATGAAAGCATTTGTATCTGTTAAATCTTTCCTAATTGTGCAAACTCATGAAAAATTGTGAATCATGTTTACATTGCCTTTGGTCTTTTTTGATAATTGATGGTCTACTTTTTAATCTTTATAATTTAATTTTGAATTCCTGAACAACAGAAAGGAAGTCATTTATCTCCACATTTTTGAAGGTTATCAAATTTTTGAGCATTTAGTATCTTTTTTTTTAAGCTGGAACTTTTTTTTTGTTTTTTTTTTATTTTTTAATTTTTTTTTGCCAGGGCCATGTTTGAACCCATCACCTCCAATATATGGCCAGTTTCCTACTCCTTTAAGCCACAGGCACTGCCCATAAGCTGGGACTTTTTTTAATTTAATTTTTTATTAAACCAAACTGTATATATTTATGGGGTACAATGTGATGATTTGATATACAATGTGGAATGCTTAAATCAAACTGATTGACATAACCACCAACTCACCTACTTATTGTTTGTGCTGGGACATTCATTATTTACTCTTAGTTGTTTTGAAGTGTACCCTTGCATTGTGCACAGTAGGAGAGATCCCTCCAAATGCCCTCCCTCCTCCCGCTGGACTATAATTGTGATTTATCATTTGTATGAATGTGTATGTGATTATGTAGGTTTCCTAATAGTATGGAGTATATTAGATACTTTTTTCCCCCCAATCTTGAGACACTTTACTAAGAAGAGTATGTTCCAACTCCATTCAGGTAAACATAAAAGATGTAAAGTCTCCATTGTTTTCATGGCTGCATAGTATTCTGTGGTATACACATACCATAATTTGTTAATGCATTCATGGGTTGATGGGCATTTGGGAGAACAAGGTATCAAGATGTAGAAGATGGAAACTGTATGCACACCTTTTACCACTAACAAATATTGATTCTCACTAGATAAAAGATGTAAATTTAAGAGATGAAACTATAAAAATATTAGACAAAAGTGCAGGGAAAATGCTTGAAGATATTGGCCTGAGAAGATATTTTATAAGGAGAACCCCCCTGGCAATTGAAGCAACACCAAAAAAATACTGCTGGGATCTGATCAAGCTAAAAAGCTTCTGTGCAGCTAAGGGAACTACAACCAAAGCAAACAGACAGCCTTCATAATGGGAGAAGATTTTTGCAGGTTATGTTTCCTACAAAGGTCAGACAACAAGAATCTACAGAAAACTTAATCAGTAAGAAAAGCACAAATGACCAACACCATTTCTTTGTGGGGAAGAGATTTGAACAGAAACTTCTCTGAAGATGACAGGCACATGGCCTATGAACTCATGAAACAATGCTCATCTTCTTTAGTTATCAGAGAAATACAAATCAAAGCCACTTTGAACTATCACCTGACACCAGTGAGATTAGCCCACATAACAAAAGAGCAAAACTGCAGATGTTGGGGTGGATGTGGAGAGAAAGGGACACTTCTAAACTGCTGGTGGGACTGTAAATTAATACAGCCTTTTTGGAAAGAAGTATGAGAATTCTCAAGGAAGTAAAAGTTGTCCTACCATTTGATTCTGCAGTATCATTACTAGGTATCTACTCAATTGAACAAAAATCATTTTACAACAAAGACATTTGCACCAGAATTTTTATTGCAGCCCAATTCACAATAGCCAAGTAGTGGAAGCAGCCTAAATGCCCATTGACCCATGAATGGATAAAAAAATTGTGATATAACCATGGAATACTATGCAGCCACAAAAATGATGGAGACTTTACATCTTTTATGTTTACCTGGATGGAGTTGGAACACATTCTTCTTAGTAAAGCATCTCAAGATTGGGGAAAAGTAACCAATGTACTCAATACTATTATGAAACCAATATATAGTCACATACACATTCATATGAATGATATGTCACAATTCTAGTCCAGCAGGAGGAAGGAGGGCATTTGGAAGGCTCTCACCTAATGTGCATAGTGTAAGGGTACACTTCAATATAACTATGAGTAAATTATAAATGTCCTAGCACAAAAAACAAGTGAATTTATGGTTATGCTAATCAGTTAGATTTAAGCATTCCACATATTACATTGTACCCTATATAGTAATGATTTAATGTATATAGTAGTGATTTAATAAGAAATTAAATTTTTAAAAAATCTGCTTAAAAATGGATACTAAATACTCTAAATTTTGATAACCTTTAAAAATGTGGAGATAAATGACTTTTTCTGTTGCTCAGTAATTCTTAATTCCTTAATTCCTGGATGTGGAGAAAAGGGAACACTCCTACACGGCTAGTAGGGTTGCAAACCATTTTTTAAAAGTGTTTCATCTACGCCTAAGAGCATACCTGTAGGTCAAATTAGAGAATTTTGCTTCTACCAACTATAGAAGAAAAATCATAAAGGTAGGAAGACAGACTTAATTGCCATTATCACGAAATACATTTCCAAAGAAAGCTTCTGAATCTATAAAATGAGAAAAAGTCAGCTCTTCCCATTTACTATGATTTAATTCCTACATTAAAGTCAGAGGTCACATCGGCATCTTTTTTAGGAGAACATCTGAGCTTTCACTGTACATCATAGATGAGTGATTCTATGAGATAAACCATAATATATCTTATAAAATGATTAGTTGTGTGTATGTGTGGATATGTATATGCTTTAATACTAGCATATTGAAATATATATAAGAGCTTTCTTTGTAAAGAGTAGAATAAAATAGAAAAAAAAAAAGGAAGGAAGGAAGGAAGAAAGAAAAAAAGAAAATCATGAGATACAGTTTCATCAGAAACTGGTTTATAACATTTATTTTTTTCTACCTGGGTATCAATGGACAGATTCCTTCTCTCCCTTAGACTCAATTTGCTTATCTGTAAATGCCTATGTCGTAGTGCTTTGGGGAGAATTAAATAAAATAATAGACATAATGTGGGTAACATATACTTGATGCTGAAAAAAGGTCATTTTTCTGTCCCTCCCTAGTGCTTAGTACACTTTCTGTAAGATATTTAGTACGTTTCTGAAGGTATTTACCCTTTTCTGTGGAAACCATTTAGTACATTATTACCTATGATTTCTGTGTAAGAAATAATATAACAAACCTTTACCATGTCACTTTGCAAAAATATTCATTCAGAAGTTCGTTTCAAAAGAATATCATTCAGAAGTTATTTCCCTTGAAGTCTTCCTCTGTATAGTATGCTACAAATAAATTGGCAAAATTCTTACCTGCTGAACCAGGAATATGTCATCTTACTGAAGAATGGAGCATTTTTTTCTGAACTATATTTCTGGAAAAGAAAACATATACCAAGCAGCATATAAAGAAAATGTCTTTAATTTACATTTGGAATGCTTTTGTCAGTAGAAAAAAATAATTTTTTCTACTAATAGTTACAGATATGTTGATACTATAATCTTTAAGAAACATAAGTAGATATTCTTGGATGGTGAATGAGAGGAATTTTAAGATTTCTCCCAATATTACAACTGGGCACAAAGCATGGGCATAAATCATGTTGGAAAGGAAAATCATTCCTGATGTTCCTATTTCTTTTTTTCCTCTGTGTGTGTATGAGTGTGTGTGTGTGTGTGTGTGTGTGTGTGTGTGTAGGTATTCATGTGTGTAAGCCAAATTTAAAATGTTTTAATTGCTAAATAAAAGATAGTTTTGCCTTTTTTTCTGAAAAATACAAGAAACCAGCAGAGGTATTTGGTGTATGTCTATGTGTCTACATAATTTCCCAAATATATATTTTCATAATTACATATTACTCGGAGGTAAATTATAATATTTTCATAAACTCTTCCTATTTCTTGGTGGGTTCAACCAAGAAAATAAGAGTTTTAAAAGAGAAGGCCTCAAAAATTATCATTTTACCTTTTTAAAATCAGTATCACTCCCTTTGTATTTTAAAACGTCAAACTGGCCGAGTCAAATTTGATTTTTAGAAACTCTCCTACATTTAACAACTTTTGCACTGGGCTTCTCTAACTCAGTTCTGATTCCACACTCAAAAAGTGTTTACTACATGTTAAAATTTCTCAAACTATGCTGCCAAGTGTCCAAAGTATAGAAGAAAAAAGTACGGTATTGACTCCAAATCTGTTTTCTGCAGTGTATAGCAAATGGTATAATATAAATCATTTAAGATACATGTAATTTACACAGACAAACTTACCCTTGCCAGATTGTGGCAAGAACTAAACACAGTGACAGATGACACCTGCACTCAGTGTTTACTGCAGCAGAATTCAGAATTGGAAAGGTGCGGAATCACCCCAATTGCCCATCAATTCATGAGTGGATTAACAAAATGTAGTCCATGTATATTACAGAATATGTCCTACTCAGTCATGAAGAAGGATAAATTAAACCCTTTGCAACAATGTGGATGAAACTAGAGATTATCATCCTAAGTAAAGTATCTAAAGAATGGGGAAAACATCTCCACCTGTACTCTCTATTAAAGTGGAACTAACTGATGAGCGCACATGTGCGCAAAGGGAAGTAAATCTCAGTGGAAATCAAGGATGGGGAGTTAGGCGGAGGGGATGGGAGAAACCTACCCACGGGGTGCAATGAACACTATTTGGATGATGGGCACACCTGCAACCTTGTCTCAAGCATAACAGAATTGATACATGTAACCAAAACAATTGTGCCCCCAGAATATTTTGAAATTAAAAACAAATTAAAAAATTTATCAAATCGTGAGCTCAAAACCACAACTCAAATATGTGAGCAATAATGTCATCACCTCGATTGTTACTGAACGTATCATTTGAAAAACAAGTACACAAATGATTTGGGAAAACATTCTAAAATCCTATAATTAACATGGAGGTTGTATTTTACTACATATGTTCCAATTATATAGGGAATTGCCAATTTGATAATTTGCCATCAAGGAAAGGACCTTATTCATACTCAAAACACATATATTTCTGTGGCAGACTGCAAATGGCTACAAATTCTTTGCAGCTTTTCCCATCAGGAGATACAATCTATTTCTGACCCCTTGAAAGTAGAAAGTGATCACGGATATGCAACAGTGCAACAGGAGTAGCATTGAAAGAACCCCAATAGTACTTCCATTCTTCCTGTGCTTGGAACCCAGAGTGGGCCATGTGACTGAGGGCCCCAGCCAGGCTGCTGGGGGTGGCAGATGCCGTGGAGGAGAAGTTAGGCACTCATCTGACAGTCTGTCGGGGTGGCCAAGAACTTAAAAACTGCCAGAGGTGTGAGTGAGGTGGCTCTAGGTTATCCAGCTCCTGGCCCACCTGCCAGATAATTGTAGATTCATAAAAGAGCTCAGTAGGTATCATCAAGCAAACCTACCCCAACAGGTTACAGTCCAGTTAATCCACAGAGTCATGAATTAAATACAATGGCTGTTGTTTTAAGCACCTAAGTCTTGCAAAGCTTCTACAGATGGCTAATTCAGTAGACTTACAATTCAGTATTTGATTTGACACTCCCTCTAGAATTATCCACTTGAAAACATCTTATATAAAGCCCTATGCATTCTCTGGTCAATAGCTTCCTTAGATGGGGGCCAGGCATCTTATAATGAATATATCACAGTAAAGCCAAAGAATATTTTATCTCCCAGAAGGATAGAAGCCAGGTTTAAAAAAATAAATAAATCTGGTGAAGGTAACTAATCCTTTACCAAGCACCAGGAATGTAAAAATGACTTCTCAATGAATTGGTAATTACTGAACTCGTATTATGGATTTCACTGAGTTTATCATTTATGTGTTGATGCATAGTAATTTCTATGTAAAAATTGACAATCTGAGATTATCTTTCAATGTTATACTTTACTCTTATCTTCCTCATTCAATATTTCTCATCTTTCTAACTTACTCGTTCTTGTTCTGTGACCTCACGTGAGTTACTCATTTCTCTGCCTCTCCAGATCTATTACAGTCTTCCTTCTCCAAACTATTTTATCATCTACTAAACTTTTCTACCATTGGGTTTATAGTATGAATTATGCAATCATACATTAACATAGACGACTTAAGAGCAATTTTCAATAGTATAGAGGTCCTGTTACTTCTAGATTATCTCAGAGCAGGAGAAGTGTTTAAATTACCAGAACACCACACAGCCAGGGTTCGTGACTTAGAGAAGTGTGTTGCTTTCAATTTCCCTTGGGCCCAGCCTGAGTTGTGGCCTCGTGGAGATAGTGTTTGCACGAGTGATCATTATGTTAATATCTCATAATCCAATTTCAGGTGCTTCCTTTGTGAAGGAGTTTGGGAATACTTAAGTTATGAGAAAGCGAAAGTACATGCTCATGAAGAAGGAAAAACTTTCAGATATCGAAAAGAACTTTTGTTTTCTAATCGTTTCAAATGTGCCACATTTTGTACTACGTATATGATCTCACCAAATAGGTGTATAAAATAACATACCTTTAGGACGAAACCATTTCTGTCATCCCAAGGCCTAGCGTTTAAAAAACACCTAAGATCTTCCAACTAAGAAGTATAAGGGACTAAATCTAATCCAGTTAGTTCATTCCATCTTCCAACCACAATCCCATACTCTCAGCTTGATACCTGTTCAAGACTGTTTCCCACAACTTAGAAAGAACTTTTCTCTTGTCGACTTTCTTATACTTCACTTCTCCTGGTTTTGGCTCTTCAATCTTTCTCAGGATTTATTGCCTGTGGTAGTTCTTTCCCTCCCACTGTGGCCTCCAAGGCTCAAATACAGGTTGTTATCACTGTAGAACTTTCAGCAAACTCCTCAGGGAGTTTAAGGGCTCCCCCCGATCTACAGTCACTGAATTTACCCTCACCTTCCCCAACTATCTCATGATTTTGTGACATCTTCTCTTCTGTTAAACTTAGTGTATCTGGAGGACAGGAACTATATTTTATTTATCTCCGTATTTCCTGTTTTGGCCCTAGTCCTAGCTTACAACAACCATGTTTGCATGAATAACTGAATTTATGGGTGGATGCAAATGACTACCAAAAAATACTGATAAGCATCTATTCTTAGGTCACCATGCCAGCCCTAGAAACTCAATCAGAAAAGTATATTCTTAGCTGATTGGTTAGGTAGGGATTTTTCCCTGAGGTCTATTCTAGTGAAAATATAAAGTGTTAACTATAAAATGTAATCACATGATGTTTTTGATACACTTTGAAATGATAAACTTTTAAATAAATTTTTGACATCAAAGCAAATAGAGAATGCAACCTGAGCAGATTCCAGTTGAAAAATAGTCAAAAATTAAATAATTGTTCGAATACTAGAAGAACTGACTAGAATTTGGGGTGACAAAATAGAGTTTTGTAATTTTTCAATCTACAAGTTTGAGAGTCACTGCCTTTTGTCACCTGTGTTGTTACACTAATATTAAACCAGTTTTACTGATTAAGCGTGTCATCTCTACCGTATGGTAAGAACAGGCTATTGTCTAGTGGCACCTGTGGCTCAAAGGAGTAGGGCACCAGCCCCATATGTAGGAGGTGGTGGGTTCAAACCCAGCCCCCGCCAAAAACTGCAAAAAAGAAAAGGGGGGGGAGGCTATTGTCCTGATGGGGTTTTTCACATTTTCAAGTAGCTTATTTAGCCCCTCTATTTAAAAGACTTTTAAAAGAGTATTTTACTTTAAAAGAAATGTATAGCTTTGTTTTATATGTGATCAGAAGAATAGCTGTAGTATTTATTTGACTTTTGGGAGTTACTAAAAAAGCAAGGATTAGAACACCTTCCCTGCATCTGAAATCTTTTTTTTTCCCCCTTCTTTTTGTTAGGACTACAGAATCACTTGCATGAAGGGCTGTTTCTAAACTCCTGTCTTGTATAAAAATGATAAGTGAAACACGTGGAGCTTTTGTTCGGAAAATTGCTCCTAAGGCGCAACTGTGGGGTTCGTTTCATTGACTCCTGCCTCAGCAAGTGACTCCAATTGTGGAGAAACCAGGAGGAATCAAGGGGCAGAGTTAAGTCTCCGCAGTTTCGGAGTTTGCCTCAGACCGCAACTTCCCCAAACCCGGCGGTTAACGCACTGGGTACCCTTTATCCTGAGACGCACCTGCGGGGGATCACCCACTGGTTGTAGAATTGCGCCCCACCTTGTACCCCTTCAGTGATGAAGACAGCCCCCCTCAGTCTCTCCAGGGCGCATTTCTGGTTACAGTGGAATTACTGATCTCTTTCAACAAAGATGCCCCTTCTCTGCTCCGGCACCACCAAGACTGAGATCGCCCTGGCTCAGATTTCACACCATCCTGGAGATTGATCTGACTCTCAA